ATCAACACTTTCTAGATCATCTGTTCGCAATATCTTATTCAATAACTTAGAAATTGGAAGGTCAAAACACTTCAAATATCTTGGATGTTTCGTGTCGCTGACCTCAAATGGTCCTATCAAGTAGAACAAACATTTCTCAAAGTGAGAAAGTTGGCCTTTTATATTTCACGCCTTCGACATCTGAGGGTGCTTTGTACATCATCTCTAAATTTATTTTCTCATGCGTTTTATGCCGTTGGACCTACTGCTCTCCCGTTATCTTTCCCGGTTTACTGTCTAAGGATTTCATATTAATTAGACGCTCTCTGAAAAGCATCTCTAGATATGGAGCTGTATCTTATGATGACCTGGCTGATTTCATTGTTAACCAACACCTGAAGGCGTGTGACCGTCTGTGTGTGTGTGACTCTATCTTGTCCCATGCATCATATCCTTTACAGTCACATCTCTTGCATACAGTCCTATCTAGCTCTATTTCAGCTTCTTTCACCCACAAAATATTAAACCTTTAAATACTCGTACCACTGCTTTTCACAACCTCGTTGTACCTTACCTTTCACGTTTGTTGGTTTCTAGGGAGCGAATACCAAACGAACTTATACACGGTCTAATGTAAATTTCGACGTTAAAATTTTCTATTTCTTACGCGTTCTCGATGTCCGACTCATTATCATCTCAGTAATTATTTCTCATATCTTAAAGCTCATTTATAATAGCGTGCAATGCCAAAACAAAAGCGATCACATTCTAGTCACTGAGAATTCTGTTCACATTGGAAGAATAAAGTGCACCCTTGAATTGACTTGACTCAATGCTTGGCGCGAGTTATCTAAGAGAAATTTCTTCGCGAACAAAGATTCATGTGTTATAACGACCGCTTTATGTAACTGCCAAAGCTGTCGGAGCACTGGTTCTTCAGACGGAATTTCCAAACCAATTTCCAAGCCAAACAATTGATAACCTCCGTCTGAACGTGATATTAATGTACCATTTATCCTCAATTTACAAATGCTACTTAGAGAGTAAAAATAGTGGATTGTGTATTGCAATGTTCTTTATTTATATTGGTCGCCAATCGATAATTTTGATGATCATGGATTGATTTAGAGGAAAGAGAACCATGGTTCACCCTTTGTGTACAATCCTCGCATAATGTCATGTTTGCTGGTCACCTGTTTCTTTGGCTTTCGATCACATCCGTCTTTAACTTTTGAAATAGCCTTTTCCACTACGTCGGGAGCCATTTGCGTGAGAGCATCGTCTGGGAAGAAACAGCGATACTTGGCACACTCCGTCCGAGTTTCATTGTTTATGGGGAAATGCCACAATTCTTGCCATGGTAGGACATTGTGTTCCGTCTCCGCACAGAACTTTTTAAGCCAGAAATTGACCTTCTTTTCCTCGGAATTGAGCGAATTTCTATTATTCCATCCTTCATGCCATAAGTTAACCAGTAGTCCTTCACCAAATATCATCCCAAGCCAGTTGTAATAACCGAGGTTAACACCCACGTATTGATCTTCCCTCCAAACTTTAAGCACCTGTTGCATATCACCCCATTGGAATGCCCAGGAAACATTGAATCCATAAGCTGTCAAATTGACCAAATGTCCACGAACTGGGAAATGATAGACATTGTTAGTCACCTCTCCGCCCCATTTCAATGTCACAGCCCCATTTTGTAAATTGTGGCCAAATTCGTGAGTTAGACCAATCGCAGAGCGTCCCTTGATGTTGGCTAAACTCGTAGCTGTGTCCTGCCATGGAAGATGTCCGTAGATAGGCATACCGGAGTGCCCGTCACCGGCCGATATTTGTATGTCTACAGCAAACACTTCGATTCCCGCATTCTCCCATACAGAACCGCGGAAATTGTGCATCAGTTTCACCACATTATCCAGATAAGTTGACACAAATTCTAAATCGTCTTTCATCAGTTTCACAATCGCCTTTGTTTGTAGACACGCGAACACCTTATCCCCGACGAAAATTGTCCACGGGGCACCATTGTAACGTAATCGTTCATTGTTCCAATCATCAATTGACGATTTGTTTCGTAAATCGAAAAGCGGATGTCGATAGACATCGTTCAACTGCATAGTGATGCTCATATTAGGTGCATCTACACGCATGAGAAGTATCCCGCCAACCGGTGTTGCGTAGCTGCCTTCCGATTGCAATTGTAAACCATGTTGTATTAGCGGCCACCTTCTCCATGGTTTTTTGTTTACCAGTTGATCCCTTTGACAGCTGAATGTGAAAAAGTATTTATCCAATTTGTCGCTATGCTCGTGCACCTTCCAGCTGAACACTTCACCGGGGTTCACGTACGCACCGGTTGGAAAATAGAACCCAACCTTTGGAGGACGAGAACGAAAACCGTAGCTAGTTTTCTTCTCGGTTCTTGCCGTTGCTCCCGGAAAGATGTCCGTTGCAAACAGGGGAATAGGAGTTTTGGTCATCTGTGACATTGCGAACATGTTATAATGTTTCCAGCAATCGCGAGTTCGTGGTTCCCACGTGTACGGATGTGATCCACACGGGGCTCGGTCATCAAAGTAGTCTCGATACTTTTGTAGCACTGCTTTCAATGCATCCTGATATCCCGGACTAGTGATCAGTTGCATATCTTTGTTTAGTAACGTCAATGTGCTGAAGAATGGTCCGCGGGTACACAGAGTTCCGAAGTTGTCGTTCGCAGCCCAACGTAGAATTTTCTCTTGCGGTACATACATATTCGAGTTGATTGTTGAACTTGGATTAATTCGACTTGGTTTGCTGTAGCGGTCCTTGTTACTTTTAACTGTTACGTTCAACTTTTCCAAAAGTTTGACAGTGCTGTCTTTCACAAGCTCACCGTTTTGACCTAGAAATGATATTACCACTCCGTTATCCCCGGCCATTACGGATTTGGCCAGTTTGTCTGCATCGAACTGATGACTGCGTTTCACAAGAACGATATCTCCCCGACTGTACGACTCATTGGCATAACGAAACTGCGACTTTTCGCCTTCTCCTAACCAGCTCTTCAGATTCACGTGGAAATTGGCCAGATAGGGTGCGCTGAACAGCTCATTCATCCATTTTTCACCCAAAATGATCACCGCCCGTCCACTGCCCCGAGTGACAGCCATTGCCATGATTTTGTTGTGACCCCAGCCGAAAACAACATCCTCCAACTGATCACTTTTTTCCAATTCCACCCAGGAAGCTTCGTACCACAATTCATTGACATTCTGTGCAACGGCCGTGCGAACTGTCTGTAAAAAAATGGAGAACAGTAATATCACATTATTCTTTCTACCGACGTGAGAAGTAGGGTAGCGGAATCTGACACCAAGAAACCCGAGAAGAACTAAGAACATTTTTGCATTGTCGGTTTAGCTCAATCATTTATGGTTCCCGGGAACACAACAAAAACATTAAAATTGGTCTCATTGTCATGCAGGATGTCCATGTGTTTCAAAGGCAAGTTACTTTTCACTTCGTTTGGCAGAAGAAAGGGAATTATCTTGTGTTTTCCATCTGAGGCATTTCGCTAGGAAGGGAAACTTGCAAAGTTGTAGGACGGAGCTCATAGCCCAAGTCCTTTGGGAATTGGTGTCCTGTAATTATTTCCAACATCATTGGGTGAAGTTTCCGGAGTCCAATAATCCAGCTGCATCTCTGAATGTTGATGTTTCATAAGCCCATTCTATCATGAAGAACATTTCCGTCATGTAAAGAGAGGATTTCCTGTACATGGGAGCCTTTCCGTAACACGTAAGGGAGTCGTGACCATATAAAATCCAAGATATTCGCCGCCGACTACATTGCGGCCAAAATATGTATGACCGTGCATTGTTGGTAAACCATAGCAAATTACCTAATCTATTAGAATCAGGTTTTGGATTAACCGGTTTGATTGACCACTGGTATTCATTCTACGGAAGTTGGCTAAACCCTGATTCTAAACTACCCACACCTGGCATAAGAAGCTCATAGTGGCACCAATCTTCGGCGCAACCGAACCGGTTTCCAACGTTAATCTTTGGAGTTGATCACCGTGATGCTCACCAGCAAGTGCGTGGTTCAAGGGTAATGTAGGTACCCTGGATAGTTGACTGTATCCGAAAGGCGTATGAACTGGTCCGCAGTCACCGGCTCCCAGAGAATCGTGGACTCCCTACGCCACCCCACTGCCTTGTGGGTCAGGTTCTCTAACCAAACGCTCCGGGTAGAATCCTCCAAGAAAACACTCCATCTCAGTCTGAACATAGAATTATAAACATACATACGTATTGCATCGTGTGCCCCCAACCTCTCTAAAGCACTGCGCTTACACACGCACTAGCCACCGCTGAGACGATAGGCATTCGCCTCTTCGCACCAAAACCATGTGCACAAATGATCTATACAGACACGACTATGAATCATTCAAGTACAATTGTTCGCCTTCGAATTTGTGTTCTGATGTTACAATGGGATTATTATGGATTATAATTTGTGTAACCAAGGTCAGTGGTAGGGATGCAGAACAAAAGGCCTGCATGAAAGAACTTACCAAATATCGATCTGGCTTACCCCACGCGGGTTCCGGTGTGATATTTCCATCACCGACACGATTTCCCCAAACCCCAATCTCCGTCACAGGTTGTCCTACAATGATCTCTGTGCTATCTGGCGATCCGCGAGCAATCAATATGTATTGTGCGCGTTTGGCATCCGAATTACACTTGAACTGTTCAGTTTCACCCTCTGCTTTCAGTATGGCATCTTTTTTGCACAATTTCCAGTGATCCAGGGTAATTCTTCCGCACAAGTTCATATATTTTTCTCTTGTGTAGATATCGAATTTCTGATTCAGTCCACTGGGATCTAAGATCAAAGTAACCATGAACAATTCAATTGTGCAGCCGTTCGCATTGACAGTGTGTTCATAAATCAATCGATTGGTAAGAGAATTGCATGTCCACTCAAACGTCCATACTATTGCACTTGTTTGAACGTGCCATCTTGAAAAATCTTATTGGAGATACCTCGAAAAATCATGGCATTTCGTAGAGGGAAGATCACTTAAGGAGCACAGGCTGAAACTGAAACAAGCAAACTAAGCAGGGAAGGGCTTGTCGCTGTCGAAGATCACGGAGCACAGCAATTTTCAATTCAGGACCAAGTTACTGAGTCCGTATTTCGTTGTATGTTCCCACTTGTGTATGGATACGAACAAACTTAAGAGATATGATGTTCGAAAGAGGACAGTGGGGATTGTCTGAGTTCATGTCTAGCATAGACACTTGAAGACTACCAGATCACACTTAACTTCGTCGAATTCGTGCACACAGCATCATATTCTACAGTCCATATACCATCTTGGGTAGAATATTTATTTTACCGATCTCTACTCAATACCCCATGGAGCACCCAGTACAGAGTTATCATCACTTGTGCGATCACGAATAACTGTAACTCATTCATATCACCACATGTTTCATTCACTAAACTATAAATGATCACACAGATGTAATCAGTATGTGAAAAGATACGACGGTTTGAACAATGATAAAATAAAGAACCTATGCGATGAGGCTTAGTAGCGAAGGGAGAAGCCGCAGGCAACAAATTGTTGCCATTGACATTGTGGATTGAATGTATTCATTCATCCTCGCTCGGCAGCCCACTCAGAAATTAGTTTGTTCACGGGGAAGTGAGTTTATTCGGACTGGATGGGGTTTAGACTGACCTGGTCCAATTGGTGTGATTTGAAGGCCGAAAACCACAATCATCTTGTGCAATTCCCAAAAGAGTGCGATTGGTTGGGTCCACTTCAAGTTACTGTGGATTCACTTGAAGTTTCAACGGATTGACTTGAATTTGAAAAGGTATAGTCATCGTGTGGTCCACCGCTATTTGTCATCGGCAAACCCAAGATCGCGGTGACAGCGAAACAGTGTTAAGAACGGGCACAAATTTGACCTGGTAGTAGTGATGAAATATTCACTGACCAGATATGTATATCGAAAATGTGATTGCACTGTCATAAGACTCAGAGTATCAATATCAGATGAGAGTTTGGGTTGAACGATTTGAGAAAAGAACAGCAGCAGCAGCAACAACAACAACAACATTTGAGAGTGCACCTCCTATAATTTCGCTTCATCATCAGTTGCTCATCTCTCCTCAGCTGATCACGTGAGATGGTCACTCCCTCGAACGATCCGAATCTGTGACATTCGAACATTGATCCAAACGCTCCCTTGTTTCAGTGGTTCATACAACCTGTGTTGCTGTTTTGTGGTCGCGTATTCTATTCACATATCTCTGTTTGAGTCAATTGTTCAGCGGTGTATAGTATCGATTTAGTACTGAATCAAATTAATTGTTTTCTATTAGATTCGTTCTGTACCGTGCGCATATCTCTATCCACAGAAATGGAATTTGTTCTGCCTAAAGGAAATATCGGTGACCGGTACACGGGTTGAAACGAGATTTACATGCTTTTATCACATACAAAAATGTCCCTTTGACTGGTGTCGTACTGAGTTGAAAACATGAAACTCACAGCCGGATGTGACAACTCTTGCCACCATCTGAATTGTGGTAATGTTGTATATGCCATTCAGCTGACCAAGCAAATAGGGGAACGTTGATTTCGATGGTACGAATGTCGTCAGGAGACTACCATCTTCAGCTTCTTTGGCACCGACCCAAACTGTTCCGGTGATTCGAGTCTCACCAGGTAGGTCTTTTGGGACCCACGGAAGTGGATTACCTTAAAATAAATATAACAAATCAAAATGATATTAAAATACAAAAGACAATGTTTGCCATGTATACGCATATATCAAAATCTGTGAAGCCATATCACGGCTTTGGTGCTAACGACATCAGACAAACTCACAACTATCGGTCATGCATCATGCAATAGAAAACTAACGCTGTATCTGAATTTCTTTCGTTCAACTTTCACAAACATTTGTCAAACAGTACCGCGGGGATCCATTATTAGCTGATTAGTGCGGAGTTGCCGAGGTTTACGAGGTGTACACGTGCGGATTCGTGAACCGAA